CACACACACACACACACTCACACACACACACACACACACACACTCACACACACACACACACACACACAATTGTTCCTTTGTCAGGTTAATGATGTGTTGTGTGTTGTATGTAGACACGCTTATTCTGTCCTGCAGTCGAGAGTTTAGATCACATGACCTGCTGAATGTTTTATTAATTTTATTCACTTTTAAAGTAATTAAATTCACTCAAAATGAATTTCACTTGTAGTACACTTGAGTGTACTAGTGTATGAGAGATGAGTTCAAGTGTACTACAAGTGGTGACTAAATACATTTTGTGCTCCAGGGTCACATTTTAGTTCATATTCATGGTGTCCCAAAATAGCACATTTGAGTACACTTAGATGTTCTTAAGATTATCTTTAAGAAGTACTAAAGAATAAATTTGAGTATATTAAGCACAAAATTAGTGCGTGAAAACAGAGCACTTTTTTTCACCTGGGATGCCACATGATGATCATGCTCCTCGTATGTAATGTGAGGAAACTCCACATGTGTTCTGGAGAAGAGCTGTTCAGCTGGAGACGCTTGACAAATATAAACTATATGTGTCTAAAACAGACTCAGAATCTCCAGTGACTGCATTGATTCATATTCTGAAGCTAAAAACTCTCAGTCTGTGTACGTCAGATTCTGTGTGATTAATATGAAATCTGTGACATGCTCTGATGGGAAGTTGAGTTGAAGTTCTGTGAGTCTGGTCTTCTCCTCAATCTGACAGAACTCACATGTTCCTCCTTCACTCGGCCAATCGCAGTAAGCCCTGCTGACATCACATGATCACGTCTTGTGTGTGATGTTCGTCAGGTCGCAGTGTGTCGGTGGACAGTGATGTGAGCGCGTCTGAGCCGGACGCCGCCGCTGTTTCTCTGGGTTATAAGCTGCAGGACCTCACGGATGTCCAGGTGATGGCCCGACTGCAGGAGGAAAGTGAGTGTGAAGATCCAGATCCCTCACAAAACACGCCACACTGCACCACTGAATGACACATATACAGAAACACTAAACATTCAACACATTTCTTTATTTGAATAATATGTGACCCTGGACCACAAAACCAGTCATAAGAGTCAATTTTGTGAAATTGAGATTTATACATCATCTGAAAGCTGAATAAATAATATTTCCATTGATGTATGGTTTGTTAGGATAGGACAATATTTGGCTGAGATACAACTATTTGAAAATCTGGAATCTGAGGGTGCAAAAAAATCTAAATATTGAGAAAATCATCTTTAAAATTGTCCAAATGAAGTTCTTAGCAATGCATATTACTAATCAAAAATTAAGTTTTGATATATTTACGGTAGGAGATTTACAAAATATCTTCATGGAACATGATCTTTACTTAATATCCTAATGATTTTTGGCATAAAAGAAAAATCTATAATTTTGACCCATGCACTGTATTTTAGGCTATTGCTACAAATATACCCCAGCGACTTAAGACCAGAGTCACATATTATAACAATAAAATATGATTGAAAATGTTACCCTAGTGAAAAATAAATACACTTAAATGTATTTGAAATACATTTATTTCATGCTAAGTATATTACAAATATATTTTCATATTTTTGTACTTAATAAAATGCACTGCAATTGTACTTTTAGTGTACTAAACTGATATACTTAAAGTCTGCTAAACTGGAACGACTACTTAATGCACTTTAATTGTGCAGAAGTAGTCCAATTAAAGTATACTTTAAATAATTTTAATTTGAAGACTGATATTATTCAAAGATCATGCAATCCGAATTAAAAGTGACATTAAAACACATTTTAGACTTAATATTAAGAAATGTGCATTGTGCACATCTAGTATGCCAAATAAGGTTTTATTATAATTTTTCTTATAGAGTTATCTCTCAGTAAATATGTTAATAGATTTGACGTAGTATGAAATAAATGTATTTTAAATATTTTTTACTAGGGTATGCATTTAAAATATTATGCATATTTAAATGTTATACATTATACTTATTACATTCTGAAAAATAAAGGCATTTATGAAGTTGTCTTTATTGGCATTTATGTTTCTGTGAAGAACCTTTAACATGCATAGAACTAAAGGCTCTTTATATTGAAGAAAAGGTTTGTTGTTTATCTAGCTTATAATTAAAACATGGTTCTTTTAGGAAGTGATCTTTGGGGAACCAAAAATGTTTTTTTTATCCTTTCTTTTAAAGAGTGAATACATCATTAGCTGTGTTTCCGTTTTATGTGTGCATAAATTCTAGAAATGTGCATGAAAACATATGTGCTCAAATGAGTCTTTCATTTGTATTTTTGATATTTCGCGCCAGTTTCTCAGAAAGTGACGATTGTGTTCTTTTGAAAATGGTGCTTTGTTTGCAAATGTTTTATTTTATATTTTAATTTTGTGCATAACTTACATTCACAAGAGTAACGCATTACAAGTAACGCAATTTACATAATCAGATTACGTTTTTCAAGTAACTAGTAAAGTAATACATTTACAGTGAAATATCCGCGTTTCTTTTTCAAATAAGTACCAGCAGTTACTTTGTTTCCATGCATTGACTGACAGCTCTGTTGTTGCCATGGTGACAGAAATCAGGAGTAAGTGCAGAGACTCTTCCTTCAGCCTGAGGCTTATTCATTTAAAAATGTAGGTGTGAAAAGGGCCCTTATAGTTGCCAAAATATTTAACATTTGAGTTTTTTGTTATTAAAAAACAAATAAGCAAGCCCTGCCCAGGTGATAAAAAATAACGCAAAAGTAACAATGCATTACTTTCCACAAAAAGTAACTAAGTAATGCAATTAGTTACTTTTTTATGGAGTAATGTAATATTGTAATGCATTAATTTAAAAGTAACTTTTTCCTAAAAAAGTATTTAATTTTAATAAAAAAATGGACAGAATGAAGTTCATGACTGTAATACAGTAAAGAGAATGTTGGAAAAATGTGCAAAAGATCCTAAAATCTTAATGCAAAACATAATTTCTTATGAAATGATCTCATTTTTGTCAGGATGTGAGTGGATGCATGTTTCATCGCTTTAAACCACCAGAGAGTGTAAAAAGCATGTGCATATAGAATATTAATACCAGTAATTCATCCATCTGTATGATTATGTTCTATTGTTTACATGTTTGTGATGAAGCCATGATCTTAAACACCCGTGAAACCGGTATAATTTTGAAAAATACCGTGATATAAATGTTTGGTCATACCGCACAGCACTAACACAAACACACAAAAAAGTAAAGAACACGAACGGCTCATATTCACCCTAAAACCACAAGACTGACATAAGAAATCATGCTTCCAGAACTGTATTTTCTTATTTTCCTTCACCAAATATTGTCCTATTCTAACAAACCATACATCAATGGAAAGCTTATTTATTCAGCTTTCAGCTGATGTATACATCTCAATTTAAAGAAATTGACCCTTATGACTGGTTTTGTGCTCCATAATAAAAGTGACGGGTGTATCTCCGTCAGGTTTGCGTCAGGACTACGCCTCCACCTCTTCCTCCTCCTCTGTGAGCCTCCGCAGCTCCAGCTTCTCCTTCCAGTTCGGCCAGCGCAGCGATTCACACCTGGATGAGGAGGAGGAGGATGATGAAGACTACGGTCAGTTACCGCCGCCGCAGCCGTGTCTGAGTCGAGCCGGACCTCTGCAGCGCAGCCTGCCGCATTCACACACCTTCAGCAGCATCAGGGACTGGACGCAGACGCAGACGCACTGCAGAGACACGCAGCCAGGCCTCAGCAGCAGCTCAGGTCAGATCATGTGTGATTAGACTGATTTACTGAGTTCAGGACAGACTGCTTCAGCGTGAAGGAAATGATGAAACTACATCACCACTGCAGCTCAGTATGCGCTAATGATGTTGTCATTTTCAGCCGTGCGTTCTAATGATATACACAACTGTACAAAAGTTTGGGGTCAGGAAGATTTTTTCTATTTCAAATAAATGCTGAACTTTTGAACTTTCTATTAATCTGTGAGTCCTGAAAAATAAAATGTGTCACAGTTTCCACAAAAATATTGTGCAGCACAACTGTTTTCAACATTGATAATAATCAGAAATGTTTCTTGAGCAGCAAATCAGCATATTAGAATGATTTCTGAAGATCATGTGACACTGAAGACTGCAGTAATGATGCTGAAAATACAGCTGCGCATCACAGAAATACATTACAGTTTAACAGCCCTTACAGAAAAATCACATGAACCTCACATGTTAAAATCACACGTGAAATACACACGAAGCATGTGGTTTTGGAACATTTTCATGGTGTAAATTTGCTGTGATTACATGGGTTTCACACATTTACACTATGAAAATGTTCCAAAACCACATGTTTCGTGTGCGTTTCACGTGTGATTTTAACATGTGAGGTTCATGTGGTTTTTCTGTAAGGGAGATAATCACATAGAAAACAGATTATTTTACATTGTAGTGACATTTCGAAAATGTTGCTGTATTTTTGATCAAATAAATGTGAACAGAAGAGACTTTCACCAAAAAATTTTTTACCAACCCCAAACTTTTGAAAGTTAGTGCAAGTCAATGGGAGATTTATAGTGTGATATTAATAATCATATTCTTTGTGAATGTGAATGCTGAGGTTGTGTTGATCTGGAGCTGATGGTTGTTGAAGGTGTTAGTGCTGTTTTTTACCTATAAACCCCAGACTGATTTGAGCGCTGATCTCTATTAAAGCTGATTCTCTTGTGTTTCTGTCGCTGTGTGTGTGTGTGTGTGTGTGTGTGTGTGTGTGTGTGTGTGTGTGTGTGTGTGTGTGTGTTTGTAATCGTCCAGCATCAACTGCGGAACTCAGTTGAAAATGAAAGCAAGTTGATAAACTTTAATGTTTTATTAAGGAATATGTGATACATTAATGATCGTTTGTACTGATGTGTCTGGATGGGCTGATGGGAGAAACTCATGATGTTCAGATGTGAATGAGTGAGTCTCTAAGCGTCTTTATATAACACGCACGCATGTTTGTTTTTGTGAATTGTGGGGACATTCCATAGGCATAATGTTTTTTATACTGTACAAACTGTATGTGTTATTGCCCTACACCAACCCTACCCCTAAACCTACCCCTCACAGGAAACTTTGTGC